TGTATGTGCGTGACAGTCTTCATGGGTCAGTGTGTGTGAGTCAGTTTGTATGGGTCAGTGTGTGTGTGAGTCAGTTTGCATAGGTCAGTGCGTGTGTGTCAGTCTGGATGGTTCAGTGTGTGTGTGTGTGTGTGAGTCAGTCTGCATAGGTCAGTGCGTGTGTGTCAGTCTGGATGGTTCAGTGTGTGTGTGTGTATGTTAGTCTGCATGAATCAGTGTGTTTGTATGTGAGTCAGCATGTGTGCCAGACTGCTTAAGTGGATTAAGTAAATAGGGGGCTAACATTTTTTTTGCCTAAGGCAGCAAAAATCCTTGCACCGGCCCTGTGTAGAATATTACATTTCCTATGTTACTATTCATACTCATATTAGGTATGGATGTGTTATGGGTTAAAAAGAACAGATGGTCATTTGTTATACTGTCTGGAATGTGGGTGTATGAGATGAGAGGATTGAAGGTTGATAAAGAAGTATATAAATACAAGTAGATATATAGAAAAAAAGATTTATTACAATCACCATTAACATATACACATTTATTACACAGTGTATGCTTATCCGTGCATACATCCCAGCATTCAAACACCAACACTACATATAAAGATACCTGTGCAATCAAACACCAACAACATATATACAAATGGCAAATGGCAGAACCCCAACTCACAAAGCATTGTGGGAATGGTAGACAGTTAAGGTTCTAGCTTTTGGCCAACTTTGCCCTAGAGGGGGTCCAAAACGGTTCTCTGGCACCAGGGCCATCCCTACATTATTCCCACCATTGATGGCATAGTAGGTATTATTGAAACATGGTGGAATAGAATGATTTGTCAGTTGTTTTACATATATATTCTGTATAGGCAGGATACAAAAGGGATAGGAACGGGTTAGGGAAATGTCAAACATGAATATCAAACATGGATTACAGTGTAATATAAAAGGAGTTGTACATAATGATATTTTGTGAAAATGTTAAAAAAACATTATGGAATAAATTTGTATAAAAGATAAAAGTGGCATTGCATTTGTAGCAATATTGAACAAACCCCCAAATATTAAAGTTACACTCCCACCACCATAACGACTTCAGCTTATTGAAGTTGTAATATGGGCAGGAGTGCCTGGGCACAATCTTACCTTCATGGGATAAAACATTTTTTTAACCTTGAAGTTGATTCTTAGGCACCTGACACAGCTGTCAGCTTCCTTCCTTACTGCCTCTGGCGATAGGCTAAGAGCAAAGACTGATGCTTTCAGCCCATCACTGGCCTCCGATTGAGAGAAAGAGTACATACCATTTGCAAAATGGTTTAACTCCTGAAGAGTAGACAGTGTCTGGTCACACCTGACTCTATAACACTTTCAATGAGCTGAAGTTGATGAGGGGGTAGTAGTGTTCCTTTAATAATAATGAAGGTAATTTGAAAACATAAATTGAGAATGCTGCATATCGCGATAAGACTTTAATCATTTGAGATAATCAACATCTGGCTATTTAATGAGAGAGATGAACTAGTAGTTCAGCCAAACAAAATAAGTTTTGACCCTACTTAAAGGGCCGCTATAGTGCCAGGAAAACAAATTTGTTTTCCTGGCACTATAGTACCCTGAGGGTGCCCCCACCCTCAGGGTCCCACTCCCACCGGGCTGAAGGGGGAGTAAGGGGGTTAAACACTCACCTTTCTCCAGCGCCGGGCTCCCTCTGCGCTGGGACTCTCCACCCCCTTTGGCCGTCATCGGCTGAATGCACATGCACGGCAAGAGCCGCGAGCACATTCAACCAAAACATAGGAAAGCATTCTCAATGCTTTCCTATGGACGCTGGCGTTTTCTCACTGTGAAAATCATCCCTATATTAGGCAACATCACTGGGCTCTGTTTTAATACCATTTGGAGATGGTTTGGTTGAATGCTTTGGAACAATAATGTTCTTTTACCTTTGTAGCGGATACTACTCCAAGGCAGAGTATAACCCTAACAGAACTGAATCGATTTATTACCGGACCTCAGAGTGGCCAGACTTAACATAAACAGAGATAGAATAGTCAGGACAAGCTAAAATAATTAAGGTAACCGGAAGACAAAACAGAAAATAAACAATGGCCAGATCAAGGATACCAGAAAAAAGAATAGTCAGTCAATAACCAGAGAGTACACTATAATTCACAATGCACTATTGGGACCAAGAATGTTGTGGCACTGACTAAAGCACAAAATGCATCATAAAAGCATGGTGAAGCATTGTAAGTGCCAAACACATGATGAGAAGTGTGATCCCCTGCCTGCTGCCACATGGCCACTCGAATAAGAGGCAGATAAGAGAGATTTTCCACCTCAAAAACATTGCCCGTGTCCACCTTCTTCCTACACAAGATGCTGCAAAGGAGCTTATTCATATTCTAGTACTGGGGCTCCCAATTCTTTTTTCCATTGAAACCCTTTGACATTGCTGGGATATCTGTACATGTACTGCCACATACATACATACACATTAACAAACAGAAACACACTGACACATACACAGTCATATACACATTAACACATACACACACAGACACACACCCTGGCACATACAAACACACACATACACAGATACACACATTGGCGCGCACACACACAGATACACACACTGGCAGATACACACTGACATACAGATACACACACTTTGACACACAGATAGACACAAAGGCACATATACACATATACACACACATGCACACACAGACACACAAATACACCCAATGACATACAGATACACACACACACCTTGACATACACATACTCACAGTGGCACATATACACACTGACATACACACAGACACATAGATACACACACTGGCAGATACACGTTGACATATAGATACACACTGGCATATACACACAGGAACACACACACACATACACATGTTTATATTTGAAGTCACCCTCCTGTTCACTTACTTTTTTCTGCAGGAGGATGACTTCCTATAGTGCTGCTGGCTGAGGCTGCTGTGCTGCTCAATCCTCGCTGCTCCATCTCTCCCTACAGCCGGCGCTCTTTGTCTGGGAGGAAGTACTGTCACTAACTCCCAGGATCCCACACTATAGGGGCCCAGTTGCGGTCTTAGTTGGCTGCGGTGTCTGACCTGACCGCTGTTTAGCGATACCCATTGGGTGGCCCTAAATGCTAGTTCACCAATTGGGAAACCTTGTTCTAGTAGTTTCTCGCATTAATTATTGTAACTCCGTACTAAGAAGACGTACTGCCCTGCTACAGTCTATGATGAATGCATCTTCCAGGCTGATCTTTCTCTCTTGTTACTCCTCTGCCGATATTATCATTGGCTTCCTGTATCCTATAGGTGTCAATTCAAAAAACTAACCCTTACCTATGAAGCTCTAATCAACTCTATGCCCCTTCTCGGTCTCTCCACTCTGCCAATTACCTTCTCCTGTCCACTGCTTTCACCCTTGCTTCTAATTCACGTTTGCAGGACTTTTCGCGGGGCGGCTCCTTTCCTTTGGAACAGCCTACCTACCCCCATCATACTCTCCCCTAGTCTTTAATACTTTAAGAAGTCCCTCATAACCCATCTTCTAAAAAAAAAAGTTTATTGCTTTCCAATGTAATTCCTATGTCACATATCTGCCTGTTGCTCTCTCCTCTGTCTCTTGCTCTCTCACACTCCACCCTCACCTCCAGTTCTGCTACATTCCCACTTTGTTTGTTTGCTGCCCCCCTTGATGCCCTATTGTGTATTTATACCCCACCTCCTCTAGAATCTAAACTCGTTTCAGGATTACTAGTTGATCCAGAACGCAGAACTGTATCACACCAAGGACTAAAGGTAACGTCTTACCGGGCCTTAGAATGGCCGGACTTAACGTACCAGAGAATAGTCAGAATACTTGCCGAGGTCGGGGAGACAGAATGAGACACAACAATGTTGGAAAGCCAAAAGTCAGAGATACCAGAGTACAGGGAATTCAAAACAAAACCAAAGTCAATAACCAGAATTAACACACTCAGGAACACACTCTCGGACAACCACTAAGGGAAACCATGACAGGGCAATGAGTAAAAAAGGAGTTTAAATAAGCCTCCTTCAGCTCTGATTGGCCGTACCTGGCCTTTGACCACAGAATGAGCGTGCGCGTCCTTCACGTGACGTCACACACACGCCAACGTCGTCAATAGCGTGGACGGACGTGGGGTTACAAATAGTTGTAGATCCGCAGTGGCCGGTGTCCACCAAGATGTTGCAGGAGTCAGATACAATGCGGAATGGCCGCTGAACGGCACTTCCGCATTTGTCAGGAAGGCAACTATTGCAGATACCGCAAGGTGAGGATGAATATGTTACAGCTCGTTTCAGCAGGGTCCTTATCAATCTATTGTTCCTGTAACATATTGTAATTGTTTAATTTATTGTTACATTTCCCTCTTTTATAATATTGTAAAGCGCTGCAGAATATGTTGGCGCTATAAAAATACCAATAATAATAATAATAATAATAATACAGTAACAATCTTGATGAGAATTTACTTAGGTTCAGATATTTCAAACTTGAGAATGATGAAAGAAAATTGAAGACAAACACAAAAAAGAATGGTTAAGTACTCTCCAAAAATAATGTAGTGTTGTTTTATTAAGTGCATAGCAGGAAGCTTGAATAATGCTCCTTTGTGCTTCCTGCTATGCACTAAATAAAACAAGAGAGAGCAAAAAAAAAACTGAGAACAGACAACAACTCAAGTAGCTTCCCCTTCGATGGGTCCCCGCTCAGATCTCAAGCTAGCCTTAGCTCATCTTGTGCTATTACAAAGAGAACCTATCCCATTTGCACATCAGAAATGGTGGTCCAGATTCTGAGGAGCATTATTGGCATCCTGCCTTTGATGTACATGATGCTCGCCTGTCTGCTCCTTCCATGCCACGTTTCCTCTATGATCTGATCCTACCCTCCCGCTGGGTGATTTTTGGGGAGAGGTACTGTCACAGGTGCATGAGGTGCATCCCTATGCAGTCCGTATATTTACGGCAAGCGTCGCCCACGTCCTTCTTCAATGCAGTCACTTCTGGCGTCCTTACAAACACAAGCTGCTGCATGCTGGTGCCTTTTAAAGGCTCCATCTGTGAAGACCTAGTTAATGATGCGAACATCATGCTGGCGACGTGTACTCACATTCTGGCAACACATAAGTCAACATGACCAATGGCTGCCATCTTAAAGGTATGAAAGACCTTTTTTCGGTTTTGTACTGTGCCCTGTTGTGGATTCCATTTTATGGGTATTCTGAGAGCACATTATCCTTGTATATCTTTGAGTTTTCTACCAGACAGCCACTAAAGGCACTTGCGGAATGTCACCAAACTTTTGGTCCACTAACTGACGCTGCATATCCTCACGCTCTGCATGAGGACATCTAGCATCCGCTATTTTCCCATAAGAAAGCATTTATTAATTGCTTTCCTATGTGGAAACCTTACGTGCAAGCTGCACTTACCGCACTCGAACATTAGCGCCCTCTCCTCTAGTGACATCGGAGGAGGTGGAGACGCGACCCAGCGCTGATGTTCCTCAGCCTGGGATCAGGTAAGTAAATAATGGCTTTTTACACCTTTATTCACCATGGTGGGGGGCACGAAGGAGGTGCCAGAGTGCCAGGAATACAGCTTTGTATTCCTGGCACTATAGTATCCCTTTAATATTACATGTGGCGGAGTCCACTAGAGGCACTGCTGCTTCGAGTAAGATAAGCTGAATTTCATTCCAGCAACATATGATTCAAAGCTAGGTCATATTCATCTTGCAAATGTCCAATATTATTCAGGGACTACTACAGATATCCTAAGCTTGTAATTGTTATTACTCACCTCGTTATGCGGTGGGAGACGTGACTTTGTTTACATTTCAAATACATAAAGAAGTGGGGGCATTAATGAAAGTATGGACACGATAATCGTTTAAAGTAGTGAAATTAAAAGGAATACTATTTAGATTTAAAACATTTTAAACTCTAAAAACACTGGCTACATATAGGAATTTCAGCAATACTCATAGAAGCATCAAGAGTCAGTATAAAGGGAACTTATTTTTATGTTGCGTTCAAATTAATTTTTATTATTATATTATACACCATATGTAATATGTATTTAGCTTATGTTATTTGAACATTCATTTGCACATTTGTTATCTAAACCAATGGTGTTTTATACAGATCTTCATCATATCCACTCTTTAATAAGAATACAATAAACATTCCCACACTGATTTCAATACATAGACGTACAATAAGCAATGCTTTGGTTTCACTTTTTTTTGCCTCTCTTGATATTTGATAACGTGGATATTCCTACTCATATTTAAAGAGATTTTTGATTCTAAGAGAAGAGGGATGTAATATAGGAACTTATTAGTAGTGTATGTTTTAAAAACATTTTACTACAGGTAGTCCTCACTTAGTGACTTACCTATTTAACGACTGCTGGTACATACAACCAGATCTCTAGCTCAGGGTATCCCCCGCAATGTAAGACTTGGAAAATTCCCCATTGCATATATTTGAGAGATCCCCATGTTAGAGAGCTGGTTTATGTTCGGGGAATTTCCCCCGAACATAGATTCAATGGATTTCCTGTGCTAGTGAGTTGGGGGAATTCCCCCGAATATAGACCTGCTCTCTAATTACTATTTTTTTTTTTTTTTTTTTTAAATGGGGGTAGGAAAGGGGATTCATCAAATAGATTAGTTTTAAAAAGTGACCTAAAATACTATAAGTGCGGCAGTCACCATAGAAACCAGTGGAACCACTAAGCTCTATTTACCAGCGGCTCTACCCCTAAACACTTTGATAAATTTCTGCCATTGTGTCTCTCATTTTATATAGATTTCCCCCCCTTACTGATAGAGGAAATAATGCTGAAAAAATTATCAGCAAATCATGTAAATATTTTAGGTTGTTTAAAAAAAAATATTATAATGAGTGATAAGGTAATAAAACCACTAGCAGGATATAAGTGGAACACTCAGTATTTCAGTCTTGAATGTATACAGTCTAACCCCTTGTTATAATAAGTAGTGGCCTGGCTCAATAAACCAAAAAAAAATAAAAAATATATAGTGCAACACTGTAAATATAATACAAAAATATGATGTAAAACCAGTGCACTATCATTGACTAAAGCCTATAATGGATCAGACTGCACGTCAATGTTGGTGGCTGTTTTATCACTCAGTATAATATTTTTCTTGCATGTAGTGTTGGTGTGGTGTATAAAAGAAAAAAACAATCAAATCAGCGCAGTAACTCTAGTAATACACAGAATTTTTGGTTTATAATACTAAGTACCTATATAGCAGAGATATTCTTACTATTGGTATTTTTATAGTGCCAACTTATTCCTCGACTGGTTACAATATTAATGGAAATTTAACAATAAATGAGACAAACTATTACAAATGTTGACAGGAACCTTTAAAAGTTAATGTTGTTTCTCAAATACGTGTATCTATAGGCGTATGGTGTTAAACAGGGGGTGACTATTCATTTAGTCAGAAGCTTAGTACATGGAGTTAAAATGGCAGAGATAATTTGTAATGTACCCTGGGAAATGTAGTCTTCAAGCAACTTTGCTGATAGTGTGTAATATGTATAATTCGGTTGTACACACTGGCGTGATTTATCAAAGTGTTCCATTCTAACAACTGTGCAAAATATGAATGGGAGGAATTATCAATGGAATATACCTACTGGTTCCACTAGTTTCCATGGCAATCGCCCCAATTTCAGTACTTTTTAGAACAGACTTTTTGGAGAAATCAGCAGTAACTAGCAGTGGAACTGTAAACAACTAGACAGGGAAAATGGAAACAACTATACTGTCTTCTTGTTCCCAGTTACAGCAATAATTGTAGATTATGCTAGCGTAGTGTACAGATAATCTTAATTTTAATAATGACAGGAGGTGAGTATTTTGCATAAACTTTCTTTACTTTATGCCTCCAGCAGCACAAGTCAATCAATCAGAAAAGAAAAAGTTTAACCAATCAGAGTCCAGCACCTCTTGTATATAAGTCCCTGACAGGCTTCCCATTTCCTCTTTCTTTGTTGTGATCATGCCGGAAAGCGACAATTCTTTCGTAAATGCAGAAACTTGAACGTAATAACTTGTCAACTTGTCAACTTGTGGAAACTTGTGGAACGTAGAGAATGTCTAGGGTCCGACTTCTGTCTCATGAAGTGAGATTAAGCTGAAAGACATAGAAAAAAGGTGAAAGGCGTGGGAAAACGACTGTCGTCCGCATATCAACCTTTAAGTCTAGTCTTAACTCTAGCAAGAAACTCCTGTAGTATCTAAATTCTAAAGTAACACCTCAACGTTAGCATTACTAACAGTCACATAATCCTATGTACACAGAGAGGTATAGTCTGATCTGATAACTGAACTAAATAGTAAATGACATCTGGTTTAAGCGTCCCTTATCCCAGTTTTTACCCATAGCTAACTGAAATAGTGTGTGAATCCTCAGAGTATAGGGAGGGAATGACCAAGAAAAAAGGGGGGGAAAATACTCGCCTCCTGTCATTATTAAAATTAAGATTATCTGTACACTACGCTAGCATAATCTACAATTTTATTACATGACAGGAGGCTTCCTATTTTGCATTTTTAACGCTGGGGTAAAAACGCTAAGGACGCGTGTGATGATTGGCGAAAGTAAAACACCCTAAAGGTATTCTCTCTGGTCCAATCCGCTGTACGTAGAATGTCCGCAAGGGAGGCACCCGCCGAGAAGGCCTTAGAATCCGCCGCCCCTCGAACCGAATGGGCCCCGAAACTAGCATCTATCCCGGCTAGTGACAGCAGCCATCGTATCCATCTAGCTAACGTAGTAGTGGTCACTGGTTTGTATGGTCTGGTATACGAGATTAACAGTTGTCCCGATCCGGTAGCCCGAAGCGGCGCCGTAACCTCCACGTAACGGAGTAAGGTGGAGACGACACAAAGACGAGGAACCGCCGGAAAAAACGGGTAGGACACGGATTTGGAGTCCGTCTTAGTCCTTCGGGATATCAAAAACGTAACACCGACGGGCGTTATCGTAAATCCGTCCACGTCGAAAGCCCGAACATCCGATACCCGTCGGAAAGAGACTAAGCACAACAACAAGGTAAGTTTGGCTGCTAATTGTCTGAGTGATAGGTCAGCGTTATCCGGCCAGTTCTGAATGAAACGAATGACCACGTCCACATCCCACAGTTGGCGATACCTAGGTGTCGGTGGTCTAGCCAATTTGATCCCTCGTAATAGTCGACATATTAAGGCTTCCTGACCCACTGGATTCCCGTTAACTGGAACATGAGCCGCCGATATAGCGGATCGTGTAACGTTAATGGATCGGTATGATTTCCCGTTGGAAAACAAAGTGGAAAGGAAATTCAGTATGTCTGATACAGGTGCTGTAAAGGGATCGAGGCTCCTTCCCAAACACCAGCGGTCCCATACATTCCATGCTGCCATGTAGTTACGTCTAGTCCCTGGTGCCCAAGAGTCCCAAAGGAGGTCCTTAGCCGTTTGCGATAAGCCTGGGATTGCCCAAGATCCCCTGAAAGCGTCCAGGCTACCAACTCTAGACGTTCTTGAAGTATGAGAGGATGAGGTTCCGCATCCGGATTCGTAAGGAGCGTGGGGAACGTTGGTAAGACCAGCGGGTGGTCGTGAGATAGTGCGAGCAAGTCGGGGAACCATGCCTGGCTTCTCCATAAGGGTGTGATCAGGATCAGCGATGTCTTGGATGTGCGTAGTTTGTGGAGCACTCTTGCTAACATCGAGAAAGGTGGGAAGGCATACGCTCCCATCGAAGGCCAGTGCTGTAGAAAGGCATCCACTGCTTCGCTCTGGGGATCCGGCAACCAGCTGTAGTACCTCGGTAGTTGCGTATTCGTGCGTGAGGCAAAAAGGTCTATGTGGAGTGGTCCCCTGATCGATCTCACCGTATTGAAGATCTCCGTGTCCAGATGCCAATCGCTGGAGTCCCGCCAATGACGAGAGAACCAATCCGCCGTGAGGTTGTTGAGGCCTGGTAAGTATTCCGCTCTGAGGGTTATGTTGCGAGGGAGACAAAACTGGTAGATGTCCTTGGTAGCCTCCGTCAATGTCCGTGATCTGGCTCCTCCCAGTCTGTTCACGTATTGGACTGCCGATATG